GTGTGCGTGTCCACTGGTTAACCAGCAAACCCAAGAACACAGATATTCAGGATAACCCTAAAAACCATCCCACCAGAGCACGGAAAGCTGGCAACTGCTTTGACCCTATGGCTCCTACACCTAAGCTCCCCTAACAGCCGAGGAAGTCCAGGACAGTGTAACAGACACTTCCAGTAATAAAAGGGGCACAGTTACAAGACACCTCTCCCTTTGGCTGGTGTTGCTGAGGCACTCCAAGCTTAGAGAAAACTCAGAAGCTCTCACACCAAAAGGGCTGTTTGCTTTCCATCTGGAAGCCACAAAGGAGACACTGCTTTGAGTCACTGTGGCTCCAGCACCTACCCAGCCAACAGACCCCCCTAGGAGTAAGGACACATGGAGCACGACTCGCCAGAAACAAGGTGCTCTTCACAAGTGACTTACACATCAGCAGGAGGCTAGGGCCTTTTCGGGTGTCCTGGAAAAAGGTTGTGAAGAATATCAATAAGCTCCAGACAGGCATAATGTTTAAAAAAAAAAAAAAAACCAACTCGGAAGCAATCCAGGTGACTAAACTGTTTGACAATTAAATCCTGACCTTGTCACTCGGTTCTTTGTTTAGAGATGTAGTCACTTTGGCAATCAATCTCCAGCTACACTGCTGGAAAGTGAATAGACATAAGAACTTAGGACTGTAAGGTAGCAAGTGACATACTAAGCAAACCATTCTTCCATAACCCAATCCCTGCTGCTAGAAGAGAGAGCTGAAAGGGACCCACTGCTTACATACATTGTTGTTTTAAACCCCAAAAGAGATGGTAGGTAGTTGTAGGCTGCCCACAAAGGTCCTTTAAACGTGTGTGCTGACTTACAGTGTACGTCACCAGAGGTGTTTCGCTACCTAGTGTCTGAAAGTCCATTTACTAAAAAGCAGAGCCCCAAAAGCTCTGATGGAGCTGTTACTGAAGTCCCTAGATAGGCTGAAGTCAAAGGAAGGGGAGAAGAAGGGCAAGGCACTATGTGTCAAAGGGCTGTGGTCTAGGAATTTGTGACAGACCCAGGACAGATGACACAGGTAGCTTGCCTAAATTCAGTACTGGAACTAACAGTTCCCAACATCTTTGCTTAATGCCCTGTCTTTGTAACCTGTATTGTCATGAACAGGAACTGCAGAAAAATCCTCAGGAAGACTACAGGGAAGTGCAACTGTCTGTCTTTACAGTGCAACTACAACACTGCCAGACCCATCTGGAAACACCTTCAATTTAGACTCTAACCAAGGGAGGATTAAAAATGCTGGCAGATCCGATGTAGCAGAAACTGCGAGTCCCTTGTGTTCAGTAAGAGCAAGTCCCAGCTCCTCGCTGCAGAGCTCTCCAGACACTGACAAAGTGATGGTTGGGCCAGCCTAACCATCAAAGAGTTCTGCAGCTTGTTACCCGATTGAGAGTCCTTGGGGTTTATGTGCACATCCAGTTATGGGAAAGAGGTGTGTATACCACATGAAACTACCTGTGAAAGAGCTCTGCTAATGCTTTTTCTAATGCTAGTATGAAAGTAAACAGAGCACATGACAGGCTCATCATGCCGTAATCCTGAACTGCACCATCAGTCTATACCATAATAATCCACCAGTGCACAGTTCAGCCACCTCACGTGTCTCAACAAGCGACGAAAGAGATTACTTCACCTCCAAGACTTCAAAGTTCAGACTGCATTTAGGGTTGAGTTCACTGGGCAAATGAAAACCACCTGCCCACATTAACAACTAGTATCAATTTATTTTGGGAGAGAAGATTTCTGATTGGATTGGACAAAGTCCCACACATCTTGGGGTACTGCATTAGGTACCAGTTGCCAGCCTCTGTCAGCAGCAAGATTTAACACCCAATTCCTTTCTTCTAAGGTCTTTAGATAACATGCACTGCAGCTTAACTTTCCCCTCTCCCACTTCCCTAAGATCTAAGTTACTGCTGCAAGCCTGACACCACAAGGCTCACTTTGAAAGCAGCACCAAATTGGGCAAGACAGAGAGAACAAGGTTTTTTCCTCCCCCACGGCTTCCACCAACAAGCTTAGCAAGCTGAACCTCAGGCTCCAGAAACCTTGCACAAACAAGCCACGACAGAAGCTCTCCCTCCCCAAAGAGGCTAGAATAAGCTGATTCAAGTCACAAGTGGTTTGAACAGCTGAAGACAAGTGCTAAAACAAGTCAAAGGAGCCAAGAGAGACCCATATTACTTCTGTGGCTGACAGTTTCAGAAAGTCCACAGCATCAGCACTTCTGAAGCAGGAAGGCTTGGATTGTGGGGCAGGAAGGAGCATTCCTCAAGAAGACCCTCCAGCTTTAAAGAAAGAAATAATCTCTATTTGATTAGCTAAAGCTACAGCTCCTGCTGCTTTGAAAACTGCCTAGTTGCTCACCTAATTTTAGAAGGCTTGCTTAAAAAGGAGTCATTGATTGACTAGCCATCTGCTGTAGTGAAATCAGTTGGAAAGGAAGGTGTATTTGACAAGAAGGCAGCTTCCTCATACCTCAGAAACAGAAAAAACCATTTGAAAGTCTGGTCTGTCAAGGACTTTTACAAAATGGAAGGAGAAAGCTCCCTCTCCTACCCAAAAAAAAAAAAAAAGAAAAGAAAAGAAAGCTTCCCAGGACAAAGCTCCACTTCCAGAGGGACTGGCACGACTTGGCCAAAAAGCAGAGGCAAAACACTTACTTTGCCTCAGCGTTACCCTCCCCAGACAGTACCAAGCCAGTTCTCACCCTCCTGACTTCCACATTCTGGGCAAGTCAACAACTGACCTGTTCTGCCTGTCTGCACACTGACCTTTCTTTCCTAGGTTTCTACATGTTGGGTCATATGATGGGCTCTTCACCTCAACAGCGGGATCTGTACCAAGGACAATTTATGTTCCTCTAGAGCTCTCCGAAGTTGGTAATCTTCTCAGCAGACTAAAACTGGATTGAAGGACACATGAAGCACAGAAGGGGCAGCTTTGTTTCCTCAAGGCTGACAGCCATGACTTGTGTAAGCTATGGCTGTAGTGTACTATGAAAGTCAAAACACTTCTAAAGTTGTAACCCACTGGAGGTAAAAACCCTATCCTCCTACACACCTAAATTTACACTGTATCTATGTGTACAAGTGTTGGTTACACCCCACTTCCATTGAGGTGAGAAGATATTTAAGTCCTATCCAATGAATATTACATGAACAGCTACTTAAGCAAAAGTCTGAAGTGTCTTTTAGGACATTTTAGTGATATGCAGTATGAATAAGAGGATAACAGAGAAGATATCCATCAGCTAAGAACACCCTTGCTAGCTGATGCCCTAAAATAGCTCTTAAGGAACAGCCACAAGCATGGCCAAGCCTTGCTACACTCAGTCACATCTCTTTGACAAAAAAGGAAACCTGGATTCACTAACGAGAAGAATGTGCAGATACCCACAGTTCATTGGAACAGGCCAAACTGTCTGGCCTAAGGCAAAAGAAAGGAATTTCCTGATATAATGTACCTTTGCTACAATTAAATTATTGCTTTATTAAAACAAAAGCCCACCTCTCCAACCTACTGAAGTTCAGGGACAGGGCAGTCCAGAAGGTTTGCTCCCCTGTATTACCAGACTGAAGTCTTGCAGCTTGTTTCACCCTTAGCTATCAACTACAGCGCCTGGAACACAGACCAAGGCCGAAGCAATAAAGTGCTAATTGATGTGGGAAGTGACAGGAAAAGAACTTCACTGACACCGTGATAAAGAAGTCCTACAGATGGATTAATGAGACTACAATATTGACAGAACAAACAGTAAAAAAAAGACTTTGATCACAAAGTTTCAGTCTCCAGATTGTCACGGGACAACTTTAATAACCATCTTGGCACAGACCGTAACAGTCACCTGAGATAAAAGCACGAGTGAGTAGGCATCTTCCCTGCAAGCAGCTTTCACACTTCACTTTGCACATTAAAACCAGAAGAGAATGTCTTGGGGTGGGAAAGGAATTCAAGTGAGGAAGAGCCCAGTGTCTTACTGGAGCCAGTAATCCTGTAGCATTTACACAGACAGGGAGTTAGCCATGCAAAGATTTTAGCTGCACAGGGCTAGAGACATCCAGTTCACCATCAACTGTAAGGCAAGTCATGTGTCCGAAAACCACTTGATGCTTTGAAAGCTAAGTGGAAGAATTTTGGTATGATTTACCCTCATATAAGGGAGTAAATGTAAATAAATACCTGCCCCACAACAGAGTACATACAGAAGTATTCTCAAAACCCAACTGACCTCACAGAAAGATCCTGCAGATTCTTAATCACTGGTTGCCTTTGGAAGCCAGAGCCAGCTTTAAAATGCTCTGGGTAAGAAGATGAGAATATTTAAAAAGAGGCAATTTGACAAGAAGGTGACTGATCTGGACCTGGTGCAAGAACATGTTTACATGGAAACACTAACTGGTGTTACCAACCTGCAGCACCAGCATAAAGACACCCCAATCCACAGACAGTTTAAAAATACTTAACTTGTCCATGTTTCAGCTGATTCCCTTGTGTAAGTGCAGTCCTAGGAACTGAAAGGCTTCCCTTGAGACTGTAAAAGGCTGGAACTCCACTTGCAGTCAAGCATCTGTTCCCCCAAGCCATATTTTAGTGGCTTACAGACTGAAACACTCACTGGCTTGTGGCTTGGTACAGGTTTTTTTCCCAGCATCAGGAAAGAGAACCTCAGTCAAAGTCACCCTGTCACCTACACCTAAACAAACACTGCAGATAAAGTTGTTTTATCAGCAGGTGAAGAGACAAATATTTGAAACTTCTGCTATATTAAAGCAAGCAGTCTTTAGCTCAAAAACCCTGTAACAAGTCACAGCAACCAAATTCTTCCATCAGAGCAGCAAATTACGAACCAAAGTGACTGTATATGCAAAGACGCTCTGACCAGATATTAAACCTCAGCTGTAACTCCCACTTGGGAAGAAAACATTGTGATCAAACCCCACCCATAAGATATCACGGAGAATGGAAACCTGAAGCAGCAGGTGAGGGAACAAGATGTTCCCAAAGGGGGAACTGAAGTGATCCAGAGTCTTTGGGGCAGTTACTCTTGGCCAGATACAGCCTGCTCTGTATCTGAGCAGTGAGACTTTGTTTTCTCCCACTGGCAGATGGCATTGGCATACTGTACCACAAGCTTATCCATCCAGGTAAGAGGTTCTGGGAATAGTACAGACCCCTCAAAAAATCCAAGGTGGCCTCCATGAAGCAGCAGCACATGCATGACATTTTCCCTTTTCTCTGTAAAACAAAAGGAGGCAGAAAGTTCACATTTTGGAGCTGAGAACAAAACCGTCTTAGGTTGTGATAAGCAATGACTCTTGCCATAGCATCTGAACCAAAGGAGCAGAAATGCACTGACAAAAGCCACGGCTACTTTGAGGTCCTTACTGCTTCACAGGACAGTCTGCAGGAACCAGCCCCAGGCAGACAAGAGGGCTGCCCAAGAAATGCTGCTGGCTGGGCCCTCACAGCAACATCTGTATTGCCAGAGGAACGCTTGGTCTTTAACAAATGAGCATCCATATGCTGGAACTAGGACTGTCAGCACCGTGTTGAGCTGCACGAAGCTCTAACAGTACATCAGCCACCTTGTTCCACGTATAGTGAGAAAAATCCCTGTGCTTGCTTCTGTCTGGAAGCAGCTGAGGACAAATTTTCTGCTTGAAAGCTGTGAGCAGAGAAGGAATGCGCTTCCTTCCTTTGCACCCACTATTTGTGTGACAAAGAAGCAGTCAGCTCCTCAAGGTAATGTGCTATTTTTGTCTTGGCTGAAGATAACCAGTTCTGTGGAACTCTTTTCAAGGGAGAGATTCTAGTTGAGTACCAAGTAACACAGCCATGCACATGCCCCTCCTTCAAAGGGGGCTGTTCATCTGAACTGGATAAAGACTATAACCACCCATCTTTCTACTAAATCCCAGTGAGGAATGAAGACATGAAGAAGCATTTCTCCATTCAAGAGTGTAAGCTGAATGTAACCTGTAGGCTATCGACATAAGCCAAAACAGCAGAAGGTGCCTGAAAGGACTCCAGTTCTTCCTGCTCAAGGTTAGCCATGTTAGTTCTAACAACTGATGATCTGAAGAGGCTTAGTGCACCTCCCAAGGATTGCAGATGTTAGTAGGCAAGTCAAGCTGCTTTGAGATGATGGATCATGCTGTGATAAGGAAACTGGCTCCTGCAAAGCCGGATGAGACTGCTTCAACATACCTGAGAGCGCTCTTGGAATTGATAGAAGACTCTCATGCACAAGAGGATCATCAGCAGCATTAACCAACAGAAGAGGAACATAGATCTGTACCAAGAAACATGGCAGAAAAAACACATAGTAAGGAGCTAGTATTTGAACTTCAGCCTACCAACTTGTAAAAGCATTTTGGCTTAACTCATTTAAGACATCTAATTTCAGAGGTGCCCTGTACTTGTAGAAGCATCAGAAAAGCAAAGAGTTGAAAAACTGTAGAGTACTCACTGATGGAGTACTCTACAGTTTGGTTTTGGGGTTTTGTTTTTTTTTTTTTTTAAACTCAATTTTATCAAAGGGGTAGGGGTGCATCAGAGCAAACACAGAACGAGTCACAGATCTTCCCTATTCTCAGAATTCAAACAGCTACACTGGTTTTGGGGTTTTGTGTTTTTTTTTTTTTTTTTGCTCTGCATTGCTTTGCACATCAGCATGGTAGTGCCAGCCCTGTTACGGACAGCTTGGCTCAAGTCCATGAAACTCCCCTCTCCATCCTCTGGCTCAGTAGACCAAGGGGGAATTAATCTTCTAATTCCACTTATGCAACACTTTGGTCTGCTAAGCATCTACCTGCCAGATAGTGTCCTGACTCTCTTCCACAGTGTCTAGTAAGCTTTTCCTTTGAAACTGCAGGTTCCATGCCACTACCCATCGACCACCTTATCCTCATACATTCAGAGCAGTTCAGCTGAATGCGTGGCTTTATCTAGATGGCTTTGGTGCTACTACCCATCAGATATGACCTCTTAACAGCCCAGAGCATTTGGCCCCAGTATTAGAGGTAGCAAAAACTGAAATCCCGCTCTAATATACAGTGTCTGATTATTTCTGAAAATACCAGCTAAAGCAGTTGGGTCTGGGTATCAACAACAGAAATCACAGAATATTTTATTTCCAGTAGGAAAATGAAGGTAACAAGAGCAGAGTCTACTGCAAGAGCTTACCCTGTGCAAGTAATGCAGGCAGCTTTCTTCTTCATAGTATTCCTTCAGGGAACTGTAGCCATGGAACTTCCTGAAATAAAGACTGTCATTGTAAAGACTGTCATCTGCTTATAGTACTCATGTGACTTACTTTCAAGTGAGGCCATATATGCAGAGATAGGCATGATGCCCCGATTTTCACAGACAAGGCTTTTCTCTACCCAGTATCTCTGCCAACACCTTTGGCAGCCCATGCCTTTATGCTTTCTGTGCTTACTTACACTGTTATAGCATGGGCAAGGTAAACATGCACACTGAAGTCTAGCAGCCTTCAGGGCATTTCTTTTAAAGTATCCCACTTAAGTAACAGTACGTACGGAAGAAAAAAAGAGTTATGATCTTGTTCATCTTTACTAGAGAGCCTTTTCAAATACAAAACCCCCAGAGTTTATGAACCTCAAACATATGGGACAAAAGGACCTGCCTACAAGCCACCCAGAATTCACTGTGGCTCCAGTTCTTCACCAAAACTTTAGCACTCCATCACAAACCAACAATTCAGTCCACCTATACTCAGTTGCCTTCCCCCCCGCCCCTGCCCCTCCCCCAAAATGTAACAGTCAGCATAGCTGTTGGCCCAACTAGAGAGAGGCCTCAGGAATGAGGGAACAAGCAGGGTGATTTCCTTAGGAATTGCTTTGAGAAGTAGCCAGAGAATAATCCCAGTCTGCCAAAAGTGTTACAGCTTCATTCTGGACAGGTGTCGATACCTGATCCAGAACACACCATGGTATAAACACTGCCACTGAGGAAAGTGCCATGCTGTTTTCAGGACACAGGCAGTAGCAGGCCACTGCTTAATAAAGCAGAGAGATTTAGGTATTAGTATGACAAGTAAAAAAAGGTTGTATTATCCCAGCCAATCCTAATATTTACTGAGAAGGCAGTGTTTTTTTGGAAGAATGTTTTTATTTTCTTCATAATTCAAGAAGGACTAAGGATATCCAGGCGCACTTCTGGGCTGCTTTCCACATTCCGCACTTTTTTCATCCAGAGTTTAGAGGTAGAGCTCGCCTCTTCCTACATTATTGAAGGCTGCAGGTTTGGAAGTTACTCACAACTAAATGCCTCCTGGATGATTTTACAGAAGCTGTAACTGTCAATAAAAAGGTGTGTGGTTTTTTTTTCTGGTAAGTTTTATTCAATGCAAAGGTAAGGAAGAATTTGACGTTGTCAGCACTGTATTCCAGCAGATTGCTACAGGCACAGCAAGGGTCATGCAGGAGCTACACTTGAAAGAGAAAATTCTTTGAGTGCTATAGAGGATCAGAGAATCGCCCTTCATACCTCATAACGTTATCATCAATCTGCATAAGTGATGTTGCTGTATAAAGTTTGCTCAGATCAGCATCTGACAGGCTTTGTGGCTTCTTCATGTTATCTCCAAAAAGAACTTGCCTAAAAGAATAACATCAAGAAAACCATCCAAATAAGGTAACAAGGGCAGCAAAGCCATGACCAGTTCAAAGACAACTGAGTTTACCAAGTCTACCAAGATAAGACTAGAAGTGGGCTACAAATACATGAGGCTTTCTTGGGAACAAGCACAGCTGATCTGTCCACTTCCCTCTGCAGCAAGGCATAACAGAAACCCTAGTGGCCTCTTTATGGAAAAGGAGAGTTTTCCTGTTATACTGAAAAACTGCATGAGGGGCCTCTAAAAAGAATCTTCCCAGAACAGACAGCACTAAGTGTATTTGGAACAGAGGCTACAGTTAGAGGGAGGGTCCATTGGCTTCAGCCCAAACCCATGGGTGGCTTGGGCGAGAGCACCAGCAGTCCTGACCATAGCATCTCCTCCACCATCTGGCTCTGAAGGCTGCCCAGAACAGACACAAGGTTAGCTCACACAGAAGTTCCTTGGGGCATTACCGCAGCAGAAAGCTATTTACTCCAGACACTCATCATCACTTGTTATTGCCCTCAGGAGAGGATGTGTTTCTTTACCAGAACAAAGAACTACTCTAACAAATGGAATGAGAGCCACAAGCTGGAAGAGTTTTTATTTCCTTTTGCGAGGCAGCTGCAGGGCAGAGTAGGAGGGAGGCTAGGTTTGATTTGGGGAGTTGCCTTAGAGTACAAGTGATTATGAAGAAAAGTTTAACAGATTTGCCTTCAAGCCAATACTGGCTTTTTCAGGCTTATAAATTTAAGGACCTTTTAATGGGAGCTTACCTAATTTCACATGTTAAATTTGGTCAAGTTGTCAAAATATTTTTCAATCTAAGATGAATTATGTGGATCATCCCACATATAGAAGGAATTGGGGCAGCTGGCAAGTGTTTCCGTACTGCACAGGAGTGTGAACAATGCGCCAAAAGTTTGCAAGTGACATGCTCTTAATTGGAATTAGTCTTGGATATTCTCCTCCTTTTTCTTTGAGACAGGCAAGTTCAAATATACACAGATGAGGTACTTCGACATTTACTGCCCTTGAAAGAAGTACCCAGAGATCTTCTGATGGAGGAAGACAACACTGAGCATGTCACCTGTTTAACATACATTGCTGTTATGCAAAAGCTACAGATCACAGCAGCAGCACAGGAATCCTACAAGTACACTTCTACTCCAGGAAGAGCAACACTATGTTTATTTTGCTGGCTACATGCTCTTTCTAGAGGAACAGCTAGAAGCCAGTGCTACAGTTTGACTATTTGCTTATTTGATAAGCAGCAGTCCCATACCCAGATCACCTCAGGTAGGTGGCACAAGAGGCTCCTTGAATAGGGACTTCTTTGCCTAGAAGTGAAACAGATGCAGAATACTCCACTTTGAAGTCTAATTGCAATGTTTGCCTGTGCACATCGTGTTTATTCATTACGCAAGTTCCCTCAGAGGGGAAAAAAAGAGAAAGCCTGCATTCATTCTAACATGACTACCAAAGCTTCTCTGTATATTTCACAGTATATGAATGGGATTGACATGGGCTCCCCTTCTCTGCTGGTTCATCTAGAGACCACCAAGCAAGGAACTGGTGCATCATCTTTCAGGAGTCCTGTTTTAAAGGACCGAGAAGACAAATCTGACATAGCAATTGACCCAGTCAATACTATCAGTCATGTACCACAGCACCTGTGAGAAAGGATAATCTTCTTCATGTTGTCTGCCATGAGGAAGTTATAAAATCTTCTGCATTGATCCCACTGCATGAAGGTTTCCTGTGCCCTACAAGAAAACAGAGCAGAATAATCAAAGCCGTTAGAGATCTTTATGTACTACATTAATACACTGCAACATCTTACAGCAGCCTAGAGGCTATGTAAACAAGTCTCCACGCCTTCCCTGCCACAGCTTAACCTTTTCCAGGAACCAACTTCCACTATGATGAAGTTTGGTAGTATCGGAACACAGATCTGCAATCTCATTTTGCACAGTGAGACCAACAGTTTTGATCAGAGCATTTAAGAGCCATCAATCATGGTCTGTAACACCAACAAGAGGATTTTAGTATCCCTTTGCATACGTTAAATATCATTTACCCAATGGGACTCCCAGGGAAAGGACTAAAACCCGCTGCTGAACAAGGTGTTGCCTATTGTGCATGTAGCTCTGCAGATGAAGTAATCTGTGCAGAGGTTTCCAGTATGCACAGCCACTATTACTGTTTCAGTTTCATTGGCAGGAACTCTAGGGATAAATACTAGTTGCAGCTGCAAGTAGCATCTGAGTTGGTCTCTACCTAGTCTCAAAGCAGACTAGCACTTCACAGTTTACCTGTTGTTAAGACAGAACTAGCCGTTAACTTCTGTGAGCTCTGCCAGACACCAGCACTCTGCTATGCAGGGTCACGGACAGGTTATACCTTTACCCTCACAGGGTTTGCCATTACTGAGGAACACTGCCATCGTTTACTGAGCAACACAGGAATGCTGGGAGCAGTTTCAGCTACTGAAGTACTCCTGCCATTTAAACACTCACATACCATGGGACCTACAGCAGCATTAGCATGACCTTTCAAGCCACAATCTGCAAGCCCCATACCAGAGCAAAAGCAAGCTATGTTTTCTTCTAGTAAGCCATGCTGGAATACAGAATCAGGGAAAAAAGCGACCCACAAAAAAACCCCATCCCATGCTCTGTATCTTTTTGTCTAGCCAGACAAGCTGTGGGGTGCCCATCCCTGGAGGGTCTTCAAGGCCAGGTTAGATGAGGCTTTGAGCAACCTGGTCTAGTGGAAGGTGTCCCTGCCCATGGCAGGGTGGAACTAGATGGTCTTGGAGGTCCCCTCCAACCTAAACCATTCTATGATCCTATGACTACACCCACCATATTTATGCCAGGGCAGAGGAATGAAAGAAGATGGGAAGAAAGTGGGGAGATTTAGATTAGATATCAGGAAAGAATTCTTCACAGAGAAGGTAGGGAGGCACTGGAACAGGTTGCCCAGGGAAGCTGTGGATGCCCCATCCCTGGAAGTGTCCAAGGCCAGGCTGGATGAGGCCTGGAGCAACCTGGTGTAGTGGAAGGTGTCCCTGCCCATGGCGGGGGGACTGGAATTGGATGGTCTTTAAGGTCCCTTCCAACCCAAACCATTCTATGGTTTTCAAAGCAAACCTATTTAAGTTATTACAAGACATTTGAAGTTACATTTCCCTGCTGTTCACAGTAGTACTCATCGTAAAAAGAGCTGCAAGTACCAAAAGAAAGTAGCTTCTGCTATTTTGAGGACTGCATAGGTTTCAAAGCTGAGGTCTCTGTCACAGCCTGTAGCCATGGTAAAGATACATTCCACAAGATCAAGAAGCAGAAACAAGCCTGTGCAGGCAGAGATTATGAAATAAGGAGATGTGTCCCTGATTAGCCTCAGGGAACACATCCTCCAGACTGTATTAATTCATTCAACTAAGTCTCATTCTTCTAACGGATCATAGTATTGATGCTACTTTATTATGCCCGCTATGGGACTCATGCTTAATGCTCTGGAAATGCTTTCGTATTTCAGATCTCTGGCTCACCTTGCTCACCACCCCACTTTTTTCCTTCACTCCCTGAAGTTATTTGGTGGATAAAGGCTGTACAAGTTAATATACAAAGAAAGTGGAATTGTAAACTAAGTTGTCATGTCTACCACAGCAATCCACTTTCATGAAGCCCAGGGGGATGAGGCCAATTATTTTAACTCACCAGACCAAGCCTAGGAAGGCTAAGGCTTAACTATTCCATCTGGAGGTGCTTTGTACCTCCCCACTCCCAATTCTGTGACAGGGGCACTAGGTGCTCCCTATCCTGTCTTGTGCATAGACGTTGCTTTCCCTAAGCTCTCCAGCCAATGAGCATTTAAAGCAGTAGTAGATTAGGTAGGGAGACACAAGATCTGAAAAGCCTTCCTGGTAACGCCTAACTGATGTTTCCTGACCCAGGATGTGCTGCTAGTAGCTAGTTCCCCAGCAGGTGGAGCCAAGAGCTCAGGAATCCCCCCCAACCCACCGAAAACTCGAAGAATTAAACTAAAGACAAGCAGCTGGTATTTTTCTACAGGAATATCTAAGTGGAATATTGTTAAACAGGTTGTCCTTGCCCTGTAATTCTACCAGCACATCATGACATACTACTGTCAGAATCAGTTTTGGGAACACTGTTACTCACATCATCATTCTGGAGACCAGCAATACAATAAGGTGTAATTGAAGATGATTAATCAAGTAGACCACAGCCAGATGTGATCCTTGCAAACCCTGTCCAATGGCTGCAGTTGGGGAGCTGGCATCAGAAGTATGCTCTGTGCTCTATGCCAAAAGCCCAAGACTGCTAACATTGTTTTACTTGAAAAAACCAAAAACAAACAAACAAACAAAACCCCAAAAAACCAAAACCAAACCAAAAACCAGAAAAACTGTTCCTGAAAGCAACTCTTCAGATTAAGGGTGTGAAACTCATGGGGACACAGCAGCAGATTATACACTCTTCTAGCAGTAGTCACATCTGATCTCAAAAGGGATTAAGTATGCTGGAATATTACCAACATGCATATTAAGCTTTTAGTCACATAGTAATCCTTCCAGAAGAGTTTCTTTCACCTGTAGGAACTTAACTCATACAAGGTGTCTTCAGACTGCTGAATATCAAACTGGTCCCTGCACAGACAGAGCATCAGGAGAGTTCCAGCTACCTTCACCAGGGCTGGGAGGCCAAATTCCATAGCAAGGCCCTTTCACAGCTACAGTAGGTTTTTTTTTTTCTGCCCAAAGGATCATGATCCAAATACCTCAGCCCCTTTTTGCTTTTCAAAGAGTCTCAGGGCTCCGAAGCGCAGTTCAATTACTGTGAAGTCAGCTACGCCTCAGTAATTATCCATATATACTGACAGTAAAAACTGGAAGTGGTAGCTTAGTCAGTCATGCTGCTTTAATCTTCATTAACTGCACATACATGGAAAGTTACTGCACATCAGTTCTGAAGTGGCAGTGCTGTACCCAGATCCTCCATCTGGATGTCCAACACTAGGTGGCGCCAATACAGCTCCTCTGCAGTGCTGCAGCCTTGGCTTTGAGGTGGGGAACCACAGGTTAACTTTTTAGACAGTCTTTAGGGCTAAGCCTTCCTCTCCCCACTTTCCAAATTGTATAGCGTGGTTGCAAGTTCCTTTCCACCTCCTCATCAGCCCACAAGACCGTTTCAGTGACACACTAAGCAGGAAACATGGACTGACAGAGTACAAGCTGTGTCTCTTTCCAGTCTCCCCAGGAAAAAGCTACCAGATGAAACTGCATATTGAAGCCAGGAAAGCGATTATGAACCAAGGGATACCTCTCAGAGTGGCGAGAAAGTGTAAACCATTGCTTGAAAACCTGGCATCTCAGCAGTTTGTCATACTGCCCAGGTTTCCCAGGACTGCACAGGGAATGCCTCCCCTTAGGATGCTGTAGCAATGAGACTGTTAGGCCAGCTCACACGCACCAACCAGAAGCTGCCAGCATGTACCTGGCCAGGTACAGAAAGCTTAATTTGCATTGTTGACAGAAATCTTATTTGTGCTGCCAAATCAACAGAGCCTTGGCTGCTCCTTTGGGAGGGTTGCATCCTGCACAGCACAGTCGGTCAGACCAGTTCAGTGCAGGAGAAGCAACACTCTTCACCTTACCCTTCCACACCACACCCTGCCCAAGGTCTGCCCCTCCTGCACCCCCAGGAGGAGACCAGCATGGAGACATCTCCAGGCCTACCTCAGAGCACTGTACCCCTGGCACACGCTGACGCAGCACAGGACTCGCTCCTGGTTGGCCTGACTCTCTCCCAGGTATTTGCACACAATGTTTCCACCCAGGCTGAAGCCCACGACAAGCAGCTGGGTCTGAGGGTAGGTCTTCTTGATGTAATTAACCATGGCACCAAATTCCCAGGTGCAACCTAAAAATAAGGACAAAGTCAAGGGTCATCTTCCAACAAACCTAGATTCCCACTTCAAGCTTCAGTCATGTGCTTTAAGTGCAGCTTCTTACCCTGAAATCTGAAACTAGAACAGCAACAGGTCAAGCTTGATGTTAAGGCTGGAGGATTCAGCCTTTCCCAAGATTAGGCTACTTGCTCATCAACAACTATGTCAGGAATCCAGTAAGAGCCAGGACACTAGGATACTTGGGTTGGAGGCAGAGTAAAAGTCTGCTCATGGTCTTGGCTGGCACTCCACTTAACAAGCAAAGCTGCCAAGCTATTTACTGTCTTACTCAAAGGAAGTGCTAGGCATTCCTTGCCCTTTCCAAGGCTATAAGAGATCAAAAAGGTACATTCGAAGAGATGTACTACAGAGTAACTCCCTTGGGTCTAAAGCAAAGCTTCATAAAAGAAAGCTCTCAGCTTCTATCAAAAAAGTAAATGCTTTAAGGAGGCCAAGCTTAGTTCCCAAGACATGGTAGGCTTGAAGCCAAGCCTAGGGCCTCGATACAAATTGAGGTACTTGGTATTCCTGAAACATTTTCCACCAAAGAATAGATTTAGTAAGTATTATGGTTTATTTGCCTGCCAGGCCCAGAATCTCAAAGCACAATATTCCTATTTTGGCAATTCAACTGTTCAAGATAAACATTCAAACTGTTAATCCAAACTCTTAGCAGTACCCTTGAGTTTCTTTTTTTTTTTTTAAAGATAACTAACACCCGTCTGTTAAACCCACAATTGAGTCCTGACATAATGCACCTACAGATGCTGGCAGTAAAGAGGGACACAAGGGCCCAAGAGAACTCAGGAATAAGGGGATCAGATCACAGGCAAGAAGGCCACATTCAACAGAGATCACGTTACTCACATGGGCAGTGAAGCGTAGCTGGAGTCACCCTTAACAGTTTCAAATCCTTTTAATTTCTACGTTAAGAAAGATTTCCTTATATTCAAGAAGAAAGCCCAGAATCATGACAGTTAAGCACTAACACTTTTGTAGCTTTACTGTCACATTATGGAATTATTGCTGTTCCTTGATATTTGTGTTACATCTAGGGACCAATCCTCACATGTCCCTCCTAGGACAGACACATTTTTTGGAGAGGCTGCTACAAACTCCTTTCGTACTCCATTGTATAAAGCCTCAGAAGTAGTTTACTTCAGAGCCAGGTTTGTTTCACATTCCATTAAACTGACATTTCAGCATCTCTAAAATCATCTGAGCAGGCTTAATAGTCACAAGAATTTCTCCTCCTCCTCCTCCCTCCCCCCCCCCAAGACTTCTTTCCAAAAAAACCTGCCTCCTTGATTAAGATACATGTGTAAAAGCTGGTAGGAGATACATGGAAAAGTGAATCCCAGTATTAGCCTCCCCTCTCTGTCAGATTGTTTGGTTTTGTTCTTAAGAACCAGTACAAAGTTATCCTCAGATATAGCAGTTATCCTGAAGGAGGGTGATCAAGTCCTAGAAATGCCACAAGCTTTAAAGTGAGTCCCCAGCTGCAGTGAAGTACCTACCGTACGTGAACATTCGCGGTGAAGTGAGCTCAATATTTGGTAAGGCTCCCAAGTGATTCAGCACAGCACATCTGTACCCATTTTTTTGGGCGTAGTCAACGAAAGTGCGGATGTACTGCTTTTCGCTGTGGTTAGCGATCCCAGGGCAGATGACCATTGTGACATCCTCTGTGCACAGAAAGAGGGGGAAGTTAAGTGTCACTTCGTGCAAATTAAGAGACTCAGAAGATTTCCATTTCAGATCCATGGGCAACCATCTGTGCTGGATTCAGTCAGAAAAGAGTTAACTCTTTACCGTGGCTGCTAGGAAGCTGTTCCTGGATGCAGAGAGCAGCACTGATAAGGTCTCAGCTGGCGCTGGGCAATGCCTGCACCAGATTCAAGGTCTTTCTCCGCTTCTGATCCTGCAGCTGCGTTCCCAGCTCTGTCTCACTACAGGCAGTGCAGGGGACACACAGTTCAGGCAGCTGACCCCAACTGACCAAGGGAGTATTTCATTCCATAGTATGTCATGCTCAGTGCAGAGGTGAGGAGGGGGTCCAGGAGCCATTACTCTCTTGCTCATGTGCACTTACTGATACTCTCCCCGACTCCTGCGTTAGCTGCTTCGCTGACTCCTGTGCTGGCTCCTTCGTGAGGGAGTTGGTGGGTTTGTTTAGTTTACCCGGTCATGCTATAGCTCTTGGGCTCTCTATCTCTGACACTACTCAGCACCTAGTTGTGCACTGGTCAGTAGGTGATGAGCAACTGTATCATATTGTATAATCTGTTTTATTTTCTATTATTTTAATTATTTATTAGTAGTAGTACTTGTATATATTAACTTAATTAGTAAACAGTTCTTATCTCAATTTTAGAAGCTTCCTTTCTTTTTCCTCAGATACTTCCCTTCCACTGGAGGAGGGGAGGGGGGATTTGTGAGAGCAGCTTCGTGGTATTTTGCTGACCAGAATTAAGCCCCAACACCATCTACCAGAAGTAAGCTAAAAATCCTACAGGTCTGCCAAAAACCCAGTATGGGACAGGAGACTAATGGCTCTAGTGCTACAAACGTGAAGTAATTACAGGAGAACAGTTTTCTGACTTCAGGGAAAGCTGCCCAAACAGTTCCACAGGCACCACCTAGAGACCAAGAGTAAATTCTTCCCTTTGAAAGACATTTTTGACATTACTCTGCCTTCTGTCAACCTGTTGTGACTGTTAAGTGTGTGTAAGATCTGGAGCCCACTGCTCATTCATGCACCAAAGTACACAGGCGACAATTTTTCCCTTATTCCCTTCCACAATTGGGTATAACACAGATTTTCAAAATGAAGCTAAGCACAGACATGCTGATTGGCTGACATCATCTCCTTTGTGGCTAATCTAATCTTTTATCTGCTGACACTGTTCGCTAGTTTAACAAGATATGATTTCATCAACTAAGAAGGCAACTGTTGTAATTCAAGTAAGCACCGTAAATTACATTCAAGATTAGCACATGCGCTTTGATTTAGCTATTAGACTCCTTGCACTTATGTGCCAAGCTCCAACGCTTAGCAGCGGCTCTAGCCACAGAATTTTTGCCTAATTAGGAAAACACTGCTCACACTCTCTTCAATAATAAGGATAACAGTAACTGGTCTCGAGCAGCATTATACCAAGAGGATCTCAACACTGACAGTTAAGAACTCTGCTTTTTCTGAAGGCCAAATGGAAGTCAGGGGATTACAACGAAATCAGATACTGTAGGGGTAAATTGTACTTCTGAAGTTAAGCTAACTCAGTTTTACATGTTGCTGTTACTAGTAATACCAGTGAGTTTGACAGTTGACATCCACTCTGAATACATACACAATGTTGTAAGCAATCACCATGATTTTCTACTTTTCATGGAGTTCTCTTCACATCTGGACTCCTTCATAACTGGCGCACATGATGCTTGTTTTCAGGCAGATCTTGAAACAGCCATTGTTAGGAGACTACCAAGAATCTGTTTATAAGGTGGAGATAAAGTCTAGCTTCTTTTCCGTACAAACCAGGCTATGAGGAACCCCATGCAGCCGGTCCCTGGTGTATGATTCCACAGCCTTAACAGGCAAAGGACACTCCAAACAAGGCTTATCACTAGATTCTCTTTGCCAGCCTCTCACCTGAGGAACAGGTGATGGAGCATTTCTACGTTCCTTAACACCCCACATCTTGCCACAAACAGTTAATTGATGTAGTAGGGCATCTCCTGCTGCCCGAGATGCAGGTATTCGGCAAGATGGCCTCACAACCTCCAAGCATCGTTAGTATTGCTTAGCAGCCCCCTTCCATCACAAGCAGTAACGTCTATCCTTTCTGAAAAATCAAGGGGCAGTGTCCTCATCCATGCCCAGAGAACAGAATCAAGATTAGCAGCTAGCTGCAGCCAGCAGCTGTTTGACTGACCTCCAATGCAGTGCTCGGACTGCGGCTCAAAGAGATCAAAGGTGGCTGTTGCTCCATCTGGCATCGTGAGATACTTGCGAAGACCATATGGATGTGGTGATCTCACTCTCCCCATTTTTCCATAAAGGGCAGTCTGGATATGTCCACTCTTCCCCCAGATCAGAGGTGGAATGTACCTGAAAGACAGTAACTTAATTGCTTATCCCTGCTGCATTAACAAGCCTTTAAGAACACATAAGCAGTCCCGTAAGAAAACTCGCCCTCGCTACCAGATAAAGTAACAAAAAGAATGGTTTTTCCTATGACTGAACTGGCAGCGCTGATCTCTGCAGCCTCACACAAGGACAGACTGATATGCTCTCAAAGCTGAGATCAACACTGACAGCAGCAGCCAAAATCCAGACATCCTTCTATACTGAAACAATACACACAGAAATGCTTCCCACCAAACACATAGAAGCCCTGTGCCTCTGAGATTGGGACAGCATGTTGCCAGCCAACCAAACTGACCTCCAAAACACGCAAAGTGCTGTAAATCTGTTCAGATTAGAACACTGAAGCCTGCTGAGTTGAGCCACACAGGCTCATGTAAGCACTTACCTGTATAAGCCAGTGGCAGAAACAACAGAATTCATAGCAATTCTAGAAGACAGAGAGCCCAAGACTCGATGGCCAAGATGACGTTACACAGAACTGCTTGTCCCCATTAAGTGACAAACACAGCATAGGGTGATTCTGACCCTCAGCAGACCTAGGTAAAGCTGGGACAGTTTTAAAAGGACCTGTCAGAATTAGCCAAACCCCACTGAACAGTAATTCCCTTTCAACAGAAGACAAGGGTATCTACCAGTTATGTTTATCAAGGGCATATTAAAGCTAGGTGACAAACAGATGGTCTTCTTGGCTTCCTGACCCTCAAAAAAGAGGTGGGGGAAACACAGCTATTAACTAAGCCATTAATACTTTCCAGATATCAGGGTTGTTTTTAGTACAGGCAGACCTCCAAGTGGTTTAACAGGAGACATACTGTCACCTTCATGGTGGCAGTGGGGCAGTTACCTAGACACTGCAAAGCAGAGACTGAGCCAATACCTTGGAAGAGATAGTTACCATCAGTTCTCAACAGGAAAGCATAAATGACTTACAGTTTAGGAGAAGAGCAGTCCCAGGGGACATGCTTCCAATGAAGGACCTGTGGCCCCTGCTATGCAGAAGCACCCTGAGAGCTGCTGACACAACCATGGATCCCAAGAGCTTAGCAACTCCCTTCCCTGTTAAGATTTTTAGGGCTTCCTGCAGTTATTTTCTTCAACTTCTTTAGACCACACAGAGCAGACATCACATTCTTCCATGTTTTCCCCTGTTCACAGAGGACTCATGGGTCAGTTTTGCTACTTAAGCCCATAATCCACCAGAATGTGAGAGAAACCTTGCCTTTGTGCTCTGACACTACCACCACTACACACAGGTGGATCATGCCAGCTCTTACGCGTCAAATCCACAACACCCAGATCCCCCTACACACCCCTCAAAAAAAGACTTCATAGAATCACAGAA